TTTTTTCTGAGACAGCCTCAAGCTGTCACCCTGGGTATAGTGCTGTGGCATCACAGCTCACAGCAACCTCCAACTCCTGGGCTCAAGCGATTCTCATGCCCCCACCTCCCAAGTAGCTGGGACTACAGGTGCATGCCACATGCCCTGCTATTTTTTGGTTCCAGCTGTCATTGTTTGGCAGGCCCTGGCTGGATTTGAACCTGCTAGCTCAGGTGTATGTGTCTGGTGCCTTAGCCACTTGAGCCACAGTGGCCGAGCCCTGACATTTACTTCTTATTTGCAAAGCACTGTGTAATATGGGGCCTGAACTGGCGTCTGTGTGACCTTGGTCCTTTGGGTCTGGGGAAGATCTCGTCTTTTCCATCAGTATATACCAGCATCGCCTATACACCTAACACCACCTTTGTGGTTACTTCCTTGAGGAAACAGACCATGGCTTGCATTTAGATTCACCACAGCTTGCATCTCCAATGGCGTCTAAAGCATGGTTTCCATAGTAACCCCCACAAGGAATGCCACGGTCTGTGTGTGTGTGTGCCAGATGCTTTCTCACTGGTCTCAAGACAGACCTGTGGGGTACATATTGCTCCCATTTCACAGGTGAGGAAGCTGAGGCTGAGAGGTGAGTTACTTCCCCAGGAGTGGCCAGCTAGGCAGTGGTACAGCTGGGATTTGGCCTCCCACTGTCTCATCCTGCGATTGGTTTCAGCGTGCGGGGCTGGTGCTCAATAACTCTTGGTCTCACAGGCCTTTGGGAGCACGTGGACATTCCCCTCCTCATCCTGAGAACCACTGCACACCACCCTCTCTCTGTCTCTGTTCCAGAATGTCTGTAAGCCTGTGGAGGAGCCGCGGCGCCCGCCCACGCTACAGGAGATCAAGCAGAAGATCGACAGCTACAACACGCGGGAGAAGAACTGCCTGGGCATGAAGCTGGTGAGCAGCCTGGCTCCTTGACCTCTGGTTGCTCTGTGCTCTCCTTCCGGGTTCTGTGGCAACTCCCTGGCAGGACCCTTTCTGGCCTTCAGAGGCCTTAGAGGTCATGGAGGGCTGAGAGCCTGGGCCCCCAGCAGCCTCCAAGTGCTTAGAGAAATAGAATGGGCTTTAGAATAAGAACCAGATCCAATCTCTGGCCCTTCCACTTTATTGCAGGTGAATTTGGGAAAATTTCTTTCCTTCTCTGAGCTTGAATGTAAACTAAAATATTAAATAATATATTGCTTGGCCCCAGGGTGCCCTTGACATGGGGAATTCACAGCTCCCCTGCCTCCCCCTTGAACTGTGCAATGCTCAGAGAGGGGAGGGCGCCCAGCTTAGCCCCCGGCTGGGAAAGCTTAGCACTCAGTAGGGAGGGGAGAAAGTAGAAGGCTGCCCCCTGCTGGTGACTGGCAGCAACTGGCTCTTTGGGGCTTCAGCCAGATGGGACCAGAAAACCCAGTCTTAAAGGCTGTGGGTCTTTTATAAAGAGATGCAGGAGGAAAGCCAGTGGGCTGGTTCTCCAAGTTCCTTCCTGCTTCTGCCTGGTTCAGAGGTACAAACCAGAGGGCCACTCCCCCTTAGAGTGGGGACTTACTAAAGGCAATCAGTGTCTGCCTGCTGGCAGGAGGTTTTGACACAGCCAGTCTGAGCCTCTTGAGAGGGAAAGCCACTGCAATCCCACGAGTCCTCTCTGGTGCCTGGATACAGTGGGCCTCTCCTTACCCACTGTGGGGAAATGTATTGTGCTCTCCAGCATTCCCAGGTCAGCAGAAGCAGAAAGGAACTCAGGGAGACAGCTGGGTGCTTAAGGGGTAACAGCCTAGAGTGGCAAATATGATAACACGAGACAGACCTTCCTGATCCTGTACGATGTCCCCCACACACACTGGCAGAGTGAAGATGGCACCTACACAGGTTTCATCAAAGTGCATTTGAAACTTCGGCGGCCAGTGACAGTGCCTGCTGGGATCCGGCCCCAGTCCATCTACGATGCCATCAAGGAAGTGAACCTGGCGGCCACCACTGACAAGCGGACGTCCTTCTACCTGCCACTCGATGCCATTAAGCAGCTCCACATCAGCAGCACTACCACAGTCAGTGAGGTCATCCAGGGGCTGCTCAAGAAGTTCATGGTCGTGGACAATCCTCAGAAATTTGCACTTTTTAAGCGGACACACAAGGATGGACAAGGTATGAGCGAGATTCCCAACCATCTCTGTCCATGCCACTTTCCAAAACCCTGCCAGCGTTGGGTGGGAGGAGCGGGCTTCTGCTGTGCCCTGGAAGTCCAGCCATCCACGTGGTACTCAGATCTGTGGAAAAGCCACACGTGGAGGACTCTGGGCACGAAGACGCGGCAAGCTTGACAGGGCACCTGATGCCACTCATTGTGCCCCTACTGTGTTTGTGACCCCAGGAAAACCACACCCTGGGTTCCCACTTCCTGATCTGTGCGATGGGGGGAATCCACCCACCACTTAGAATGGAAACACGCTTCAGGCTCTGAGCAGACGCGTAAGCTAAAAGGTTATCACCCCATTTACTCTTGTCAGGTTCAGTTCATGAGGTGGAAGGGACCGTGAATACGTCTGCTTCCAGTTAGACGTGCTTCCTGTTGTCCCCTGTCCTTTCCTGAGATGAACCCCCGACCCCCTCTTGTTTGCAGTGCTCTTCCAGAAGCTCTCCATCGCTGACTGCCCCCTCTACCTGCGCCTGCTCGCTGGGCCTGATACTGATGTCCTCAGCTTTGTGTTAAAGGAGAACGAAACTGGAGAGGTGGAGGTAGGTCTGGACCCTGGCGAGCCCTGGGTGGGTGCAGGTGGGTGTTGTCTTAACTACCCGGGGTAGGTGGGGGCCACACAGCAGCAGCAGCAGTAGCAGCAGCAGGAAAATGGCTGCTGAGAAAGTTGAGTAGGAGTGAGCGTTGGGCCCGTGGTTCATCATCTCAGCCAGGATTATAAGTACCTTTGGATGGCAAGTCAGGGCCTGTGTTTGGCCAGGCCTGTGGCAAGAAAGGATTTTCTGTGCTTTGTTTCTAAAAACTGAGGGTGGAGGGAGAGCAAGAAATTCCCTGCATTCAGGCCCAGGCTGTTTTTGCTCCAGGATGGCCTGAGGCCCAGTAAGCTCCATACCAGCACTTCACTGGGAATGGACATTTTTGAGCCATCTGTCTGTTCCTTGTTCTTAAATACTGCCCTCCTTTCACCTAGGAGGGCTAACCAGTGTCCAGCCTTATCCTGAGACTTGGCTTGTATTCCCTGCGGCCTGGGAGTAGTGACTAAGAGCAGGGGAGGGTGTCCGTGTTCAGTGGAAGCCTAGGGCTTTGAGGAGCAGTATTGGGGTCATTGTGGAAACAGTGATCTAGGCAGGTGGGACTCAGCCCCTTCTTCCCATATAACCAGAACAGCTCTGCCTTCCATCTGCTTTATATATTGGCACCTGGGAAAGACTGGAAAAAGTATGCCACTGAGAGTGTTTGAATACTGCTGGCCCTGTGGAAAGCTCACAGGCCTGGGAGTTTAGAGACCTGGGTTCTAGTTCCAGTTCTGCTGTGTAAACTCTGTGATCATGGTTAAGCCACCTTCCTCTGTGGACTTCAGGTTTCTCATTTATCCAATGTGGGGGAAAAAACTAGATAAACACTAACTCTTCTGTGTTCAGAGCTTAGGAGTCCCAATCATTGGCCCCATGGGGCCTCTGCTCCTGGGTTAGCCTGAGGGAAGTTAGACTTGCCTTCTGCCCTGACAGGCCAGCTCATCTCCAGGCAGGCCTGAGCCACCCAGGTTCTCATGATCAGCTCTCCCAGCCATGGGAGGTAGATACTCCAATTCCATGGCAGATAAGAAAGGGGGCTGAGAAGGGTGGAGTCATGTGCTCCAAGGTCTCTAGGCTGGTGAGAGGTGGGAGTCAGGCTCAAACCCAGGTCTCCTGAGACCAAGTCCTGCTTCCCTTCCCCTGTCTCTTGAGGGGCTGCGTGCTGGGAGCCTGTGGTGGTTTCAATATCACCGTTACGATCTCAGCTGCTACACAGAAACTTAAAATTATTGATTCACCAAATAAAAATGTGGTTCATGGACCGGCAACTCTTGGTCATGAAATGCCAGGAATGGGGATTTTGTTGCCGGTATGACAGGCATGTAAAACCCAAGCTTCATTCACTGAACCTGCCGATCCAGTGGCAAACTGTGAATCTCATGTGTAAAGTGTGGGAAGGGGCAGGAGCAGGTTCCGTGGGCCATCTCCACTTCTAACCTGTCTCCTCTTGTTTCTCCCCCACATTTCCCGGTCGCCTCACAGTGGGATGCCTTCTCTATCCCTGAACTCCAGAACTTCCTCACAATCCTGGAGAAAGAGGAGCAGGACAAAATCCAGCAAGTGCAGAAGAAGTATGACAAGTTTAGGCAGAAACTGGAGGAGGCCTTAAGAGAATCCCAGGGCAAACCCGGGTAACCGGTCCTGCTTCCTCTCCTCTCAATGCTCTCAGATTTATTTTTATTATTTTATTATTTTGCAACAGACACTTTTTTCTCAGGACACCTCTAGCGGGTACATTTGTGCCCGCCCAGCAGTTCCAGCTGTGGCACAAAATCTCTTCCATGGACAAGTGTTTGTGCAGGGTTGACTCCTGCTCACCCCGACGCCATGCTCCTCAACAGGCTCTGCCAAGGATCAGAACTCATGTGAATTGAACAGCTGTCGTCCTCTCACACTCTGCAAGCCTTCTGGAAACCAAATAGTTGCCTCTCTTGTCACCAGACTGGAACCGATCACATCAGCCAGCAAAAGAAGGAAGAAAGATTTTAAAGCTCCATGTTCTTTCTCTGGCTTTGATTCTTCTTCAATTCCCCTTATTTGCTACCTACAGTACCTTTATTTATGAGTTATAGCATATTCCTTTAGCAGGTCTGAGGTGAGCCCCTGAAAACAGGATAATGTTGCTTTCAGTGGACTGTCTGCAATGCCCCAAGGTGCCTGCCGTTCATTCCTAAGGGAAGTTCATAAAGCCACTGGCCCCAGAGCTCAGGGTTAAGAGCACCAAAGCCAAGATTGGCTCAGAGATTCCCAGAGAAGCTGCAGCCTGCCCCGGCCCTGGTCCTCATTGCCCAAGAGACTGTGCACATGGAAACCCAAAGGCATATAGATCTGCATCTGTGTGGTATTTGGTCTTATCTTTGTCAACCAATTATTTTTTTATAAGTTACAAGTTGGAATTTAATATTGCCATAATCTTCTTGTGTGTCCACCAAAGGGAAACCAGCCATTTACCATTTTGAAAGTCTCCTGCTGAGTAGGGAAATCAGGCAGTAAGAGAAAGCCAAAAAGTGGAGAGAACTTTGTCAAGGCTGTCTTCAGCCGTCCTGCAGCTGGTGAACAGAGGAGGGCCTGGGCTGCATGGGTTCCCCTCAGCCCCCAGCACTGCCTCCCTCCTCCCACTGGGATTCTGGGATCTCCAGGTGCTGCCCAAGGAGTTGCCTTGATTATGAGGGGGAGCCTCCAACTGGACCAGCTGAGAGCCCCCGAAGCGTGGGCCAGCCCCAGCCCTGCGCTCAGTCTGCCCGTGGGTCTGGCCTCCCCATTGACCTCAGTGCCTTTTGTTTTCAGAGAGAGATAGGAGCAGGGCGTATGTGCCTGAAGTTCTGCTGTTGGTGTATTTGCGCCAGGAAGTGGACAACGGTGGTGTGGGAGACTAGGCCAGGAGAGCCCTCACTCTTAGTACAGGGCCATGGTCACCAACCTCTTCCCATCTAGGTGCCTGAGTCTTGTTCCAAGAAGTGATATGAGACCACATTGACAGGGAGGATCAGTTTCCTGACTCTCTACGTTTGTACTGGCTTCTTGTTTAGGTTGAATCTTAAATTAGTCAAACAATACCAGTGAGTAGCCAGGACCGCAAAGACACTCCAATGCAGAGGGAGAAGGACTTGTAATCTTCAAGGCAGGGCTGGTTTTCCAATCCAGTCTCTGAGAAACCATTTCTTTGTTGCCCCCTGCCAGTCTGTCTTGGGTTGGTTTGAGCCCACGCTTCTTCATGTAGCCTAGAAGTTCCCTCCCTGACCCAGGCTGAGTCCACACTGCCCCTGATCCTGGAAGGAATGCTGACCCCTTGTCATATAGGAACTGTGCGCAGCCCTCAGAGCTGCAAGAGCAAATCTATTAAGACTTTTGTAAACCACAAAACCCCTGGTTTTCTGCCATCTTGTGCTCAGCCTTATCACTTCCCCCTCTTAAAAAAATCTCTCTCCCTGCTGTATATTAAAGGGAGCAGGTAGAGAGTCATTGCCCTTCCTCCCGCATGTCTCTAACATTGATAGACAGCATGGCTCCTGCTGCAACTGCTGTGAATGCTGCTGAGAACCTCCCTCAAGGGGATGGCTATTTTATTTTTGAGAAGGAAAAACAAATCGTGTGTGTGTGTATATATATATATGTATATATACATAAAAGCAAATAGCTATATATAAAGAAATAATTGTATCTATGAAACAAAATAAATATGGGGAAATTCAGACATTATCTAAAGCACAGTTAGACCCAGTCTAAGCCTCTGGAAAAACTTATTATATAGAGTATCCCTTCCCTCCCAGAGGTGGGTATAACTGCTGGTAGTGCCTTCTATGGTTGTGTTGCTCAGTGTCTGTCTGTTTTGAGAATATTTTCTTTTTAAATGTCTTTCTTATATGGGTTTTAAAAAGAAGTAATAAAGGCTTGTTGCAAAAATGATTCATTTTGGAAACCTCTTCCTTGAGCTTCTTATGGAAATCAGGAATTGGGGAGAGAGGGTGAGAACGAAGACAATCACATACTTCTTGGCAGGGTCAGATTTTCTTCTGCCAGTGAACAGAGGAGTGAAGGCTACTGTTCAAATAATTTGGGAGAAAATCATCCAAATGTGTGGGCTGAAAGGCACTGCCTAGGTGACCAGCTATTCCATCATCTCCATGGAGCTGGAGAGTCAAAGGGACTTATTACAGAAGGAGATACTGAGTCAGAAAAAGAGAAGAGCTTTTCTAAGGTGATTAAACACCAGGACAGCATAGTGATAAGCAATGATTCTCCAATTTCTGAAACTGTTTAAAAACAAGATAGGGCCAGGCACAATGGTTCACACCTGTAATCCCAGCATTTTGGGAGGTTTGCCTGAAACCCGGGGTTTGAGACTAGTCTGAGCAACATAGTGAGACCCCATCGCTACAAAAATTAAAAAATTAGCCTGGTATGATGGTACACACTTACAGTCCCAGCTACTCAGGAGGCTGATACAGGAGGATCACCTGAGCCTAGGAGTTCAAGGTTGCAGTGATCCGGCAACCATACTCCAGCCTGGCCAACAAAACAAGACCCTGTCTCTTAAAAAGAAAAAAGAGGACTGCGTCTCTGCAAGTTTAAGATCATTTCAGCTGGAGGAAGAAGACTAGACTAGATGATCAAATGCCCCTTTCACTTTAGCATTCTCAGACTTCCATCAAAGGAACAGTCCCAATAATCACAGAAATAACCATATGAAAGTTTTTAAAAATAAGTTTCTACCTACCTTCCAGTATCGGTCACACAGGATGCAATGAATAAGGCCCCCAAATTGAATGTCCAATGGACATTCTTACAATTACCCAGGAATGGGGCAGATCTATAACAGTTGTTTACCTAGACCTCCAAGAAGTATATCTTTCAATGATTTTGCCAAAGCCTGCAAATAATCCCGTTTCTGCTTTTCACTGAAACTTATTTGGTTACGATATGGGATTAATAAATTCAAAGTTGTATGTTTGACCTTGTTATAGATTATTTGGCTTAGCACATAGAAAAAAAGAACCTATTACACAGTCCAACTCCATTCTGCCTTCATACATGTACCTATGCTGTTCGTACTGGAGAGAGAATGTGATGACTCAAAGCAAATGTGTCACCATTACTGGAAAACCATTCAAAGCACAAGTCTTGACAGCACTGTCATAGCAGAATTCTAGGTCAAATCACAGTTAAGAGCAGATGTTCAATTTAGAACCAGCCCCACCTCTTACTGGCTTTGTGTCTTTAGCAGGGATTAACAAGGCAAGACACAACATTTTGGAGCCTCCAATCCCTCCAAGATTGTGCAAAGCAAATTATGCCTGTGAAAGAACTTTTGTATAGTACATGTTATTTGTATTCATGTAAGGACCATAGTTCATTACTCCTAGATATATCATGCTCCCTCAGATCAGACTGGCTGGCCAAAGGTTTTTGTAATGGGATCCTGTTTGGGGTCAGTTTCTAGAGAATTCTATCCCAGTTCCATGTGTTTGTGCCAGTAGAGACAAGATTAGTGAAATAAAGAAGTTGACTTTTAAGGGAAAAGGGCTATTCTGGGCCTGTAACAAAAGGTAGCAGGCACCACACATGCATTTTCGCACCTATCCTTTCTTCTTTTTCAAGCCTCAACTGGGTGATTTATGGATATTGTGGATATTTTCAAGCCTTTCTTCTCTGAGATGATAAATAAATAGGGACATCAACTGAAGTATAATTGTTTCTTCGTGGTAAAACCCGAAACCTCTTACAGAGTTTAGCCTCTTCTTCCTTCCTGTTGTACAAGGATAGGTCTGCTCACAGAAATGACTTCCATGAACCAAGCAGGAACCACAGCAATGGTTCTGAACCTCCTTATCATCAAGTGATTCCTTTGGGAGTTGATAAAAGCATTACCCCATCTCAGGAAAAATCTTGTGCACCATTTCAGGGAGTGCTTGGACCCTCTGATGACAAACTAAAGACCACTTCATGATCCCAGGTTAAGAAGTTGGAGCCAAGCCTCAGTGCCCATAGCACAGTGGTTATGGTGCCAGCCACATACACGAGGGTGGCAGGTTCAAACCTGGCCTGGGCAACTAAACAACTTCAACCACAACAAAAAAATAGCCAGGGCTCAGCACCTGTGGCTCAAGTGGCTAAGGCACCAGCCACATATACCTAAGGTGACGGGTTTGAATCCAGCCTGGGCCTGCCAAACAACGATGACTGCGACTAAAAATTAGCCGGGCGTTATGGCGGGCACCTGTAGTCCCAGCTACTTGGGAGGCAGAGGCAGGAGACTTGCTTGAGCCCAGGAGTTGGAGGTTGCTGTGAGCTGTGATGCCACAGCACTCTACCCAGGGGGACAGCTTGAGGCTCTGTCTCAAAAAAAATAGCCAGGCGTTATGGCAGGCGCTTGTAGTCCCAGCTACTTGGGAGGCTGAGGCAACAGAATCGCTTAAGCCCAAGAGTTTGAGGTTGCTGTGAACTATTGAGGGTGACATAGTGAGACTGTCTCAAAAAAACACAAAAAAACCCAAAAAGGACAAGTTGGGGCCAAAAAGGCTAAGCCTCTTCACTGTAAGAAAGCCACGGTGTTGGAATGCAGCACATTTACCAGTAAGTGGCAGTGTGCTGAAGCTGGGGAAGAAATACTGCCTGACAGAAGGTGGCGCCTGTGGCTTAAAGGAGTAGGGCACCAACCCCATATACCGGAGGTGGCGGAGGTGGCGTGTTCAAACCCAGCCACAGCCAAACAAACAAACAAACAAACAAACAAACAAAACTGCAATAAAAAACCAATGCCCTACTATGCCTGTATTGCTCCTCACTTCTATCTAGCCTAAATTCTGCCACAATTTGGGATTAATTCTTCCATCTGCAGCCTTGACTGATGACAGAGAACAGCTGGGTCCTCTTTATTATGATTAACTCTTTAGAGATGCGAAAGAACTTTTGGGCTATGAGGTTAATTAGGTAGTAGGAACAGATGAGCAAGAGGCTGTGGAATACTGGGTAGAGGGGCTTTAAAACAGGAAAGACATCTGCCTGAACTTCTGAATGGGTCGTCCTGCCATGAAAGGAGGGGAGGAACACGACCACTGAAACCATGTAGAGTGGAAAGGCACACCACCACGGCCTCTTCTGTCGATTTAAAATGCTTCTGACTTTAAAAGTTAGTATAGCATTTTAGCTAAGTGGAGGGAACAAGAGAGAAATCATACTTAGATTAGAATAAAAATTTATTTTGGTAAAGAATTATATTTTGTATTTGCAAAAGTTGAAAATGTTCATAAAAATTACCAGCCCAAAGGTTGGATTTCCACTTGATCTGCTACATGAAACAAAGTCACTTCTTCTTGCCAGGTTTGGGGGCCTTCTCTAGGCCTTGGATGTATTTTCGAGGGATCTGATATTCTTCTACAATCGAAAAAACAGACACTACTCAGTGGGGCATGAGCTGCTCCCCTGCTGGCCTCCACTCTTCCTCTTTGCTCATTGTTACTTCTTGGCCCTGACCCGTGGAGACAGCTGACCTCCAGCCCTCTTGGCTCCACAGAGGGCGCTAAGAATTCCCATCACGTGATCTGCTCTTTTACCCAGCCCAAACCCAACTTCTCAGGGAAGCCTTCTGGGTGGACAATTTGTCCCTATACCTCAAGGCTGAAATGTTTATTTCAGTAATTTTCTCACTGATGGCTGCTTTCTAGGTGTATTTCGGGCATTTATTACTTTCTCATGAAAGCATGTGTGTGATTGCACTCAATCACGTGTTTATCTGATTTTCTCTCGGCACCTCTCATAGGGTTCTTCACATAAGGGAGCTAAACTCTAGAAGTTAACTGCTAGGTACTGCCACAGGCCACAGTGTGAATAAGCTTATTGAGCATTTACTATATGCTAGGCCCTGAGGATGAAAAAGGCAAGGTTTATGCCTCAAGAAGCTTAGTATAGCAGGGAATTTAGACGTTAGAAAAATTAGCCAGGCGGTGCCTACAGCTCAGTCGACAAGGGTGCCTGCCACATATACCTAGGGTGGTGGGTTCGAACCCAGCCCAAGTCTGCTAAGCAACAATGACGACTGCAACAAAAAAACAGCTCAGGTGTTGTGGCGGGCACCTGTAGTCCCAGCTACTTGGAAGGCTGAGGCAAGAGAATCTCTTAAGCCCAAGAGTTGGAGGCTGCTGTGAGCTATGATGCCATGACACTCTACCCAGGGTGACAGCTTGAGACTCTGTCTCAAAAAAAAAAAAAAAAAAAGAAAGAAAGAAAAAATGAGCCACGCTGCAGATACTAACCAGAAATATAATCACAATTGGAAAGGTTACATTAGCACTTTTTAAAATGCTAATTTGGGGACACAGGACATGCTCTGGGCATGAGCTGGGCCACTGAGCTTTTAAGGTGAGGCAGATTCAGGTTGTGGGAAGGCACAGTAGGCAAGAGGACAGCCTAGGTGAAAGCACACAAGTGTGGACATGGCATGGTATATCAGGGACAGCAAACATACGGCACATGCCTGGGATGGGGGTGCTGGAGCTGCCAGAAACATAGCAGGAACATGCGCTCAGGCTGGCAGGCTCTTGTTTATTCTGAAGCCATGGAAGAGGCAGACAAAGTTTTTAGATTCCTGTCATTGTGTCTTTAAAAAAAGTAAAAAGAAAAAACTTTTTTTTGTTTTTTGGTTTTTTGCAGGGTACATGGCTCATAACTGTAATCCTAGCACTGTGGGAGGCTGAGGACAGTGGATTGCTGGAGCTCGGGAGTTCAAGACCAGCCTGAGCAAGAGCGAGTCCCCATCTCTATTAAAAAAACAGAAAAAACTAGCTGAACACTTTGGTGGGCAGCTGTAGTCCCACCTACATGGGAGGCTAAGGCAAGATCTCTCGAGCCCAGGAGTTTGAGGTTGCTGTGAGCCACAGCACTCTAGCCTGGGTCAACAGAGTAAAACTATCTCTAAATAAATAAATAAGAATAAAACAAGAAAAAAAATTTTAGAGGGGAGTGATGTGATTATATTTGTTCAAGAAAGCTGCTCAGGCAGAGTTGTGGAAGCTGGTTTGAAGTACGGACAAACTGAAGGCTAGGTGACCCAGAGTTAGCAGAAAGGACTTGGGCTCTGGGGTCTAAAAACACCACAAGTCCAGCTACAGTACTCAAGAGTCAGATGACCTCAGGGCCAGGCAGTGAACCTCTCTGTACCTCAGTTTCCTCATCTGCAAAACAGATAACAGTTGTGCAACATCATTGTGATCAGGAGAGATCCCTGCAAAGAACCCAGCTAGATGCCTGGGATAGTGCTCAATAAATGTTTTATAAAAGGGGAAGACCAGGAAGAAAGCTAATAGCATGGTGGAGAGAACACTGAATCTGAAAGGGGCCAAAGGGTCTGGTTCAAACACAGGTTCTACCTCTTCCTAGTTGCTAAAGAACTAAGTGGAGGGGTGTGTGTGTGTGTGTGTAGTTATTATATAACCAGACCAAGGTGAGTAAGCAGGGAGATCTTTGCCAAGCTAGACCCATGCTTCTGCTCTTCAGAGGGGATGCTCACCACGCAATAGCCAGTTGAGGTGGTGGATCTGGTTTCCCTGGATCTGCACCTGCAGGCTGTCCTTGGCCCCAGGGGCAGGAGTGACGGTGGTGCTAGCCTGGCATCGCTGCTGGAGGATGGCAGCCACTGAGCATGGATCTAGACCATAGGTCTCCAAGTTCCGGACCACAGTCACCTGGGGGGACAGCGGGGAAAAAAGACCAATGGTGGTGGCAACCCAACTGCATGGCTTCCCCCTGAGAGGAGTCTCAGCACTCTCATCACCCCTGCATTCTCTCATAGGTCACCATCTCTATAACCATGGAATCTTTTCTCCAACAACTTATTTTTGTGCTTCTAAATAGATTCTACCCAAACCTATAATGTGTTATATATTTGGTGGGATAATTTGTATTATAGGCAGTCAAAATAGCTCAGTTGGGAGACCATTAGACTCCAGATAATCTCTATCCTATATAAGATACACTTTTTAAAAAGCCTTTATTTTATTATGGAGAAGTTATAAATACAAGTAGAACAGTACAATGAACCCTCATGTACTTACCACTAGTTTCAACCATTATCAACTCATGGCCAACCTTGATTCATCTATACCCCCATGTACTCCCCACTCCTGTATTACTTTAAAGCAAATCTCTCCAGACATCAGATCATTTCATCTGTAAATATTTTAGTATATATCTCTAATAGATAAGGCTCTTTTTAACATTAAAACAAACCATCGTCATACCTAAAAATAAATTACTAATAATTCCTTAATATCAAGTATCTAGTTAATAATATATTCATTTTTCTATTATTCAGCAACTTTGCAAATGACAAGTATGTGGTTTTCTAATACTTTAAAAAAACTGTAATTCTCTGCTTGTTGCTATAAAACAAGTTCTCTCTCATTCATGACTACAGATGGTAAAGTGTGTTACTGCCAGGGTAGTTGGGAAAAACTGCTATCAATAAAGTTTATAAAAGTTCCAAATAACTTTAAGCTTGTCAAGGGACTCCAGATCCAAAGAATTTCAGAATCAATAACTCACTATTTCATTTTTGGACAATTCTAATTATTATTAATAGAAAATTAGTGTTTAAATTAATAATATATTTATTAATATAAATTGGCACATAATTAAACAATAAATAGTGACTATTTCTAATTATTATTAAATTTATCATGACTAGGTCTCATTTATTGAATGCTGATATGCCTAGTACTATTCTAAGTGCTTCACCCATTTATATTCCTTCATTTGATCCTCACAGTAGGTACAATCCCCATTTCCCATGTAACGAAACTCAGACAAAAAAAGATTAACATGCTCAAGGTCAAGGCTACATTTGAAGCCAGGTCTAATTCCAAAATCCATGCTCCTAACCAAATACTAGTAGAAAGTTCTTTTTTTTTTTTTGAGACAGAGCCTCAAGCTGTGCCCCTGGGTAGAGTGCCATGGCATTACAGCTCACAGCAACCTCCAACTCCTGGACTCAAGCGAGTCTCCTGCCTCCGCCTCCCAAGTAGCTG